TGTTCTTACCTTCTTTCACTGCATTTTTTGTTCCCTGAACATTTTTCCCATGCGGAATTACAGCTTCAAATTGCAAACCTTGTTTTTTTTTCCAGATGTGCACTGCAAAACTTACTGGACGTCCGTTAAATTACTACATGTCAAGATCTTGTATGGCTGTAGCAAAGGCCAAACGTGACCTTGTGAGTCCTCAGTTGTTTTTCTACATTTCTTTCATTGAGGAATGCACTCTAATACGTACATTTTACAGCTTCGACAACAACTTTCGGATGATTCATGTTTGAAAGGCGAATTTTACCGTGCGGCCAAAGAGCAAGCACGTAAATTTCCAGGCAGAAGAGGGGTAGGCTCGTTTATGTGCTCGCATTGAACAGCAAAAACTTTTTGTAGGTCACTCAGAACCACGAAAATCTAACTCCTGAAGAGAAAGCTATTGTTGAAAGAGGCATAGAGGTACATCGCTGTGGCTCTGTTAGATGCTCTTAAAGGTACATTCTGCTGTTTAGGAAATCGCTCAGAAATTCAGAGATGGGGAACGAGCACCAAGTATTAGCGAACTCATTAGAAAGATTGATCTGTCAGAGGGGTAACTTTCTTATGTCTGCAGGCTGGCTTTAAGTAAAATTAGTGGTCAGTCTCTCAGCATATGAACTTTGTATTCAGAGAAATTGCGTCCATTGTCAAAGCAGCTAAAAGGAAAAGTCAATTCAAGAGGAAGAGGGAAGTTCAACGCATTTGTGGTGTTAGTTTAGGAATCGAATACATAGTCAACAATAAATCATCTATTCTGTTTTTATGTTCAGGGTTTAAAAAGGATCAGAAGGGGCACGAGTCTGCTTCCTGATTCCGTATGGGAGAGAACGGAGTTCACTGAAAATGAAACTGAGGTGAAGATCAAAGAAATTTTCCTTGGAACTTCATATTAATCTCCTTGTCCTTTTTGCGTAATGCTACCATTTATTACGGATAAAAAAAATTTTCAATTTGTCTTTGAATGGTTTTTGTTCAGGAAGAACGTCTAATGTGTATGACCGAAGCGTTGTGCCATGCCGTTCGCAAATACGACTTACACGAGTGGGGCAGCAGATTCTTCTTGAGCCACGATCGCCCAGAAGCCATTGTCCATGACTATGTAACAAATGTAAGCACGGGATTAGGATGTGTCGGGCACTAGAAATGACCTATCAATTCCAGATGCTAAACGATAAATGTGATGAAGTGGCAACGAGTTCAAGGGAATGTGCCAACGCTCCAGCTGATGCGACAATACCTCCTACGTTTACCTCAGCCTCGGCTTATCGCGTTTTCGAGGTTGTTCTGGACCACCTTTTCAAGCAGGAAGATTCTAACGTTTCTGTGGTTGTAGCGCGTTCGCCCATCGCTTACTGCTAGAGCGGCGAGATATTTCTGTCCTAACAAATCTGGTAATACCGATCTCATTCCTTCCATTGATGCTGATCTCATTCGAAAATATACGGTTCGTTCGCATCATTTGTTTTGATATGATTGTGTAAGTAGCTTCAGGCTTACGATCGGCTGAACATACAGCTACATCCCAATATCCTCATAGATACAGATTATCTCAAACTGAAGGTAGGGCATGTTGAAATTTTCCACTTCTAATGGAGGTTTGACATTACAGGCTCAAGTGCGCTGCATATTATTTGAGCCTACCTTATTAGCCATGGCGATCGAGAGTCAAAGTGTTGAAGAGCAAAGAATTAGGGTTAGCT